CCTATTCCACCTACCAGAACATTGACCTTATTTTATACTGATCGTTTGTTTACACTGATTTTTTTTTCTACTTTACGTGGACTTCCATAAAGGAAGCAGTGTCATTTTCTTTATCTCTGAATACTGCTCCAAACCCACTACTGAGTGTCCACTCAAAAACTGAGGACTGAATCCACAAATGACCAGAACGTCACTACCCCATCTTCCCTATGACTGTTCATGTTCCCCATTTATAAAACGAAGATTGCATTGATGTGTCTCTCAAGATAATTATGTAGTTATATATGATTGCCAAGTGCTCTAAGACCATAAAATTTTTTTTATAAATGCCAGCCATGATTATAACCCTTTGAAACAATGGGATACAGGATTAACAAGTGGAAAAAGATGAGACAGAGCAGGTAATGCTTCTTGCCCAGTCCCTGTTCCTCTCCCCACCCACCACCCAGACAGTAACTCAGAGTCAAAACCATCAAGTGACAAAAAGGGGTTTAACTAGGGTCTACCCAGGATTTCTTGGACATATGCCATCATCCTGCCAAAGTCTGACACGGGGAGCTTGAAGCAAGATTTCTTACTGGTGAATGATTCCCAGTTCACTGATGAAGTGGACACTCAGATGAAGAAGGCACCTGGTCATACCTACCTAAAGCTTTGGGGGCCTTCAAGAGCTGATGAGTGATTAGGAGAGGGACCGTCAAGGTGAAAAACTGTCAGACTCGACTCTATCTGGATCTCCTGTGTGGCTGGCCTGCCCAGGGGAGGGCAGCAGGGCATGTCCTCTTCTCCTTTTGTTTTTCCTTCCCCCATATGTACCATACAAAGGGGCCAGGAAAGGGGTGTTGCTTGTTGAATAAACGGGGCATTCAGACTTTCCTCCCAAGCAACACATCAGGAAAAGAGAGGGCAGGAACATCTTTGGTTATTTTATTGTGGAGCCTTAACAAGATTTTTGAAGCCAGAGGTGAYTCATTAATCCAAACTTTCACATGATTGCTGCCATCCATTGTAGTGAAAACCAGGATCAATAGTCAGATTGTTCCCCACTTGACATCGTCTGGCCTCAGAGGTCAGCAGTGGGCACAGAAGGCATTGTAATTTACAGGGAGGGGAGGGGAAGCAGGGTGTGTGACAGAATTTGCAGTTCCAACACAGCCGTGAGCTCAAGAATGGTGGATGTTACTTGTCTCGATGTGTCTGAAGACGTCAACCCCGTCCAAATCAAAGTGGGCCCCACGTCTCATATTGGGAACATCAAATTATCTGGGAGTAGTTGATTGGTGGGTGGGCTGCTGGGACTATGTAGGGAGGTCACTTCCCATCACAGGCTTGTTGGCAGGAGGTAGAACCATGGACTTGTGGTTTGGAAGTTTTGCCAAATGGTTCCTGTTTCCCTGAAGAGTTTTGGATGCGGGATCAGTTCAACTTTTTCCCACTTCTCAGCCATTCCACTGTCAGCCACCTCAGAACACTGAATGCCTTGGCATAAGGAGCTGGTGAGGTGGCCCCCATTATCTCCTCTCTTGACGTCAGTGAGGGAGTTGTTCCCTGTGGCAGTCTTATGGGAAATAATTCAGCATTTGTACTTCAATTAAAATCCATAGGTATATATTATTAAATGGTACTGACTCATTCCATGGCTTCTTTTCAGCTGATTAAGTGCCAAAAAAATGTTACATATGTGTTAATAATGATGAAGAGTGCATTAAAACTAAGATTTCCTTGTTCGTTGACAGTGCTGTGAAGCAAGCACTTCACCCGTCTGGAGGATCACTGTGTCCTATGTCTTCTCTAGAGAAGACACTTAAGCTCAAGAGTCTTTCTGCCTTTGAGGGAGAGGAAAAATGACACTGGACTACAATCCTCTTTCCTTTTGTGAGCTTCACAAAAGCGGCACTGGGCACAAGGTATGTTCTCAAATGTGGGCCTGAAACAAATTGAATTATGCAACTCATATTCAATATTTGTCAAAGAAGGGGAATCACACACAAGATCAGGCAGCTCAGCCGGAAGACAAAAGAGGAGTTTTTCCTGACTCGATAAAGTCAAACCTTCTTCTTTACACTAATTCATTATTTTATATTTAATGTACCTAGGAAGATGGACCAGGGAACAGTGATACTAGTGCTTTTTTTTCTTCCCTGGCTCAAAAGACCATGCTTGTAGCTAACTGTAGTCATTCCACGCTGAGTGACCACAAGCAATCACTTTACTTCATATCCCCTGCCCAGCACACCTCCTGGGATTCCTCGTGTGTGGACATGTCCTGTGTTATAAGCACTCAACACAATAAAACAGATGAAAACAAAAGCTTAGTCATCAAGACAAATGATGGTTCTCAAAGCCATACCAACCAAGAGCCCTAAACATAAAAATTGAGCTTTTCAGCCTAGGCTGCCTCCACTACATTTGTCACCTCTGTGTGAATAAGTAAAAGGCTCCCCCAGCCGGTTGTGGTGGTGCATGCCTGTAATCCCAGTGGCTTGGGAGGCTGAGACAGGATGATTCCAAGTCTGAGGTCAGCCTGAGCAACTTAGTAAGACCCAGTCTCAACATAAAAAGGGACTGTTTTCTCAGTGGTAAAGTACCCTGTGTTCAATCCCCAGTACCGAAAGAAAAAATAAAAAAGGAAGAAAGAGAACAAAAAACATCCCCTCCTTCTGGACAGACACAGACTTGCAGATCCATGGATTAGTCAGCAAGTTCCATCTTTAGCTTGATTATAAGAAGCAGCCCTTCCTGTAGGTGGACGAAGCCTGGCACTAGGATCCTAAGCCATGTRTAACATAACCAAAATCAACAGCCCTGGCTTTAGCTCTGGCTCTGTTTCATCTCTGAGCTTCTACCTAAAGAGAAAGAATTGAATTGTAATTTCTATGGCTTTCTTCATCTCTAAAAACTTCAAATTTTCCAATGGGCTTTTCTATTCTTCTACAAGAGAGATTATCTAGTATACAGATACTGCAACTTCTGATATATTTTAGTCATCTGATGACACTGCCTAAATATTTAAATGAAATTATGTATGGTTTGATGTGGAGCAGATTAAAATATAAATGCTTTAGCACATACATGATGTTCCAGGTGTCGAGCAACATGGTGAACCAGCAAAACGGGAATAACTACTCAGTGCTGTCAGCAAATGGCTCAAGATGTGGATCTCACACAATGATGTCTATTGAGGCCTTCACCCACTTTCTGTGGGATGGAGCATCAGACAGTGCTGAATGCCTGAATGCTCTCTCAGAGCACCCACTGCACCCAGGAAGCCAGGATTGCAAGGAGCCAGGGACTGTTTTCTCTGTTGATGCCTTGTTGCCAGAAAACAGAAATCAGATCCTTGCCTGGATCCTCCTATCAGCAAATCTGAGTGCCAGCAAGCTTTTCGCAGTGGAAGAGCAGACAAATAGCAATCTACTTCAAAGCTCAAGAATTTTGAGCCCTTAAAATTGGGTTTAAAAATCTTATAATCACCTGTGCATATAAGGAACCATTTGTAAGTCTCAAAATGTTAGCAGAAATGAATTTGTTCTTATTTGGGACTATTTCTAAAATCAGTTTTGATTGGGGGATTTATTTGTTTGTATTTGGAGCACATGGGAGGGTTTCTGGAAAGCTATACCTAATTATGTCATTTTTAGAGAAGGAAACTGAAGTCCAGAAAGGGAAAGAAGGTAGATCCAGGTCACACATCAGGGTAAATTTGATGGGGCTGGGATTATAATCTAATGCTCCTTCCCTTTATCCATGATGAAAATGTAAGCAGAAAGTTTGGCGGAAAACAGATGGCACATAAATCACTGTAACTCAAATTTTCAGTTTCAAAGAATGGATGTTCTTACCACTAACCAAGAACATGCATTGTAGAAAGTAAATCTTAGCTGTACCAGTGCCCATCACAAATGTGACAGTCTCACACTGGTAAAATATGGCCCCCACACCCTGGGGCTAGAATAACCCCATGGACTGTAAAACATCTTTGCAGCATCCCCCTTGGTACTGGGATCAGAACCAGTCATTCTCTGGATTAATATCCCTCTGGGCCAACCATCTGTTTCTTCCAAAGCAGTGTCCCCCAGGAGCTGTGTGCCTGCTAGAAAAAGAGTTGTGGCCCAACAGTGCCTCTAGGTTGTCCAGGAGCTGCTGTGGGACCACTTTCTGAAGACAAAACAGGCACCGGGAGAAGATATTAAAACAAAGCTCCCTTTATTAAACAACTCCGACACAAGCAGGAATCTGTGAGCTGGGCAGCAGCAATGTGGAGGGGCCGCTGAATATAAGCAGATGAAGACTGGAATCAATCAGACTCACTTTTCTTAGTATAAAACATCCCTTTCCTCTAGTGGCTGCCGCTCTCCAGCAGCCTGGCCCTAGTGTCCTGAGCCAGGTGAGATTAGAGATTTTTTTCCAAAGTCACTGGAGTGAAGACCCATTCCATTCCAACCTCTCTTGTGACTTTTTGAAGACAACTCAGAGGGAGGTCTCTCCTGGAGCACCTTGGARGGTGAGCTGAAGTTTCCAGTGTAACAGAGTGAGGTTGTTCCCTGGTGAGAACACCAGAACCAAAAGCTCCAGCAAGGCCCTGGGAAGACGGCCCCTCTGTCGCAGGCAGTCCTCAGCCAAGAGCTTCCCTCCTGGAGCTTGGATGGCCCTCATGCCCGGGACACCTGAGGCCATGCAGACTTCACCAGGGGCTCTGCAGACCCAAAGCTTAGCTGACTCTGGAGAGTTGAGCTCACGGCTGTCAGCACCTCAAGAGGACATGGCGGAAAGGCACGGAGCCAGTAAAGCATGCTGAGACCAAGTCACACTCTAACTTTAGAACTGGGACACGCATAAGAGTGTGGATTCGCCAAGAACCAGCTTATTCTCTCTGAGTTTTTGAATGTGCAGCAAATTGTGTGTGTGTGTGTGTATGTGTGTTGTTTGTGTGGTATGTATTTTTGGTGTTTAGATGTGTTTGTGCATGTGTATGTGTATGTGTGATGTGTTTGGCGTGTATTTATATGTGTGGCATGTGTGTGGTGTGTTATGTGGTACGTGTGTGATGTTTGTGTGTGGTGTGTATATGCGGAGCAAGGGAAGGTGACTGAGCTTTGAAATATCATCTGAAGAAAAACCAAGAAAGACAGAAGTGAAGCAAAGCTAGCATCCTAAGGAACAGAAGGGAGATCTAACGACTCATATTATCCTGTTAATTTATACCATGGCTCTGTACAAAAATAAAAAGGTTCTTTTAAGATTAACAATTTAAATAAATATTTGATAGAACTTTCTTTCTTGTTTTTATAGCTCATCTTTGGGGTTAATGTTCAGTTCATGCTTTCCTTGCTGCTCCTGATCCAGGATTGCAATCACTTCATCGGCCTTTATTCGTTCCTGCAAAGAAGACAATTAACAAGTTTCTGTTACAAGCATAGTAATCAATCCCAGTGGCAGATGCTTCCTGAACACTTCCAGGCATCCATATGGGCATGGATTGGTGCTAAATCCAGTTAAGGATGAAACCTCATCTTCATCTCCTTTGTCCTAAGTAATTATTTTCCATGATTTCTCTCCTGCAAAAAAAAAGTCTTGCATATTCAACCACTTCCTACTCTTGCTACTTCATGGTCTCATCAACATCTCCAGCTCAGCTCAGTATTCTAACTGAATGCACCTTTTCTCCCCCACAGACCTATTCTGTTCCTCAGATACTAAATCTCGCAGTAAAGCTGCTGCCCTCCCATTTGCCATAATAGCCTGACCATGGATTCCTGCATCTGATAAGCCATTTGGTCCTTTCCATTTTGTCTCTTATTTCTGCCCCTTTCTTTTCCAGGCATAATACTCTGGCTTTATTTGGGGCCAGGGTTTCTCAACCTTGGCACTGCTGACATTTAGACCAGATCATTCCTTGTTGTTGTGTGTGTTTGTGTGTGGAGAGAGGGTCAGGTGCATTGTAGAATGTTCAGCAATGTCCCTGGTCTCTACTTACTACAGGTAGCCAACAGGATGTCTCCCTAAGTTGTGATGACCAAAGTGTCCCCAGACATTGCCCAATGTGCCCTAGGCAAAGCTCCTTCTTAACAGCCACTGGTTGAGGTCCACTTTATTTCCTAACTCGGTTGCATCAGAAACTTCCAAATTGGACTCCCTGTTTCGCTACTCACAAGYTTCTAATACTCATGTGCTTTTCTTGGGTCCTGCTCATAAACCTGGCCATATTACTCTGCTGCTCAGTACTCACACCCTTGGCTTCCAATGGCTTGAAGGTCTGGGTTCATATTTCTCTGTGTGCTTATAAGGAGCTCACTGATTTAGACCTTTCTGTGTCATCAGCCTTACGTTGTTTTCTTCCCTCTCCTCTCCTTACACTCCAACTTCCTGACTTACCTCCTGATCTCTAAATACTACGGTCTCAAAAGAACTGCCAAGTCCTAGTCTGGATTAAATATCCTTCTGGATGTTGCCATTGTATCCTGTGTTTTCTCTTATCTCACACCAACCAGCCATAGGTCTAGCCGGTCGGCCACCACACTGCATCTCAAACCTCCCACGTCTTTCACATTCTCTGTCATTACTCTAAGTCCAGATATCAGCTAAAGTAATCTTCTGGATCTGGTCATTCCCAGAACTGAGGGAGCAAACTGGGAGGAGGAGGATACAATGGCTTCCTAGCAGTTAGAATGRATTTCAAAGTACTGATCCAACCTGGAAAATGTGGACCTGCTTTCTCTGTTCTCCTTTTGTACTATGCTCCATCTTGCATGCCATAACCCAGTCACTCTTCTTTGTTTTTTGTTTTGTCTTGTTTTTTAATATTTCTTTCGTGGCAGGGAGGTTGTTTGCTTGTTTTTGATTCTGGAAACCCAACTCAGGGCCAAAGCATACACTCTACTGCTGAGCTACACCTCCAACACCTTTTTTTTTTTTTTCTACCTCTCTAAGCTCCCTCTTGTCTCTGGGCCTTTGTGTTGTCATCTGAGCCTGAAATGCTCTTCTCCAGATGTCTGTTGGCTCTTCTTGTCACTGGGGTTGCAGCTCACATGTCACTCTCTTGGCGAGAACTCACAATTTGACAGCCCATTATTCTCAAATCAATTACCTTGTTCCATTTTGCACACACCATTTATGACTATGAGAAATTCTCTCAATTGGAAATATTTTTGCCTATTTGTTGCCTGTCTCTGTCCACTAGAATGTAAACTTCCAGGGAGGAAGGAATCTTATCTTCTTGGTCACTCCATTTTCTAGTGTACAAAAAAAGTTACTGACATTTGGCATTTATATTCAATGAGTCAATACATACATATGAAGGTCTCCTCTAAAATGCCTCTCCTTACAGAAATCTCACTCACCCTGTAAAGATCACCTCAAACATCACCTCCTCAATGACCCTTTTCTGGCTACTTCTTTATATCCCCTGCACATTCATTTGCTACTGACATTCCTACCACCTTCTGTATTATATTTTACTTACTTGGGCACCTGTATCATCTCTCCAAAGACTCTGAGCTCCTGGAAACCAGGGGTTAAGGCTCATCTAGTCTGTATTCCCCAGAGGTAGTCTCTAGCACAGTGTAAAGCATAGCAACTTATAAAAWCACATGTTTTATGGCCTAAAAACAAATCTCCTTTCATGCAAGAYCTCATTATTGAAAACAATGTTGACATAAAGACAACCAAAATAACCAACTGACTAAAAGTAAACTAAATTGCTGCTATAGCTTTTTTAAAAAGGCCTATTTACTAATTTATGAATATGGTAAGAAAATCTCGATGCTTAAAAAAAAAAGAAAAACTGACACATATGCAAAGTTCTCACATCTGATGGCCACAAAATACTATCACAATTAAGTCTCCTACGAAGGGAAAGAAATTCAAGACCTAAATATGAAATACATGAAACTCTAATGTTCTTGCATAATTTATGTTGCTAAATACCTCTTGAGATTCCAGTGTATTTAAAGTAATCTATAATATATGGGAATCTGCCAGAACTAATGATTTTTTTTTTTTTTTTTTTTTGCCTGCAGGCTTTCCTCACTCAGAGATTCAATCTGAGAAAAGGTTTTTAGCCAGGGTTCCCAAACTTTGCTACACATTAGACTCACTTGGGGAGACTTTGAAACTCCTGATGCCCATATAACACTCTATAGAAATTAAATCAGAATTTATGAGGGTGGGAGTCAGTTGTTAATAGTTTTATAAAGATTACCAGGTAATTCCAATGAGAAGAAAGTTTGGGAATCAAGGCATAGACAAAATTTTTTATTRTTGGAGAGGCTCTTGCCATTTCCAACTGTGGCCACTAGATGCCGCTACTGCCTGAAGACTAGAGAAGTTCATAGTACTTTTCCATCCAAGGAGGAAACAATGGCATTGATGTTTTCTGATTAGGAAGGAGCAGAGAATTACTTTGTGTTTGTTTTATTAATTTATAGTTCACTGATAGAACAATATGTTTGAAGAGAAAGTTGGAATACAGAATTATTAAATTCCCTCTGAGTAAGGCTAAAATTCTGGTAGTAAGGCAATTTTTAAACAATTTTACTCTTCATTGTCTCCGCCTTTACCTAGGGGCCTTACTGTAGAAGGAGTGCTTCTGAGGGACACTGGTATTTTGGAGTTTACAAAACACAGGGAAGGGGAAATTCTGGGGAATGATATTGGCCAAATTATACTTTTATATCATGTGCATGTGTGAATATGTAGCAATAAATCCCATCAGTTTGTACAACTATAATGCATCAATAAAAAAAAAAAAAGTGGGTGAAAAAAATAGGGAACAAAAGGAATTCTTGGTGAAGGAGATTGTTCAGTGCTGTTGAACTTCTCAGCTCTGTGCTCTCTTCCCTGTTAGGATAGTTCTTTCTCTTTCAATGCTAGGTATCATCTTCTTTATTTCTGAGTTTAAGTGAGTCTTCCTGTATTCCCATTTCCTGTCTTCTTGATCTCTCCCTGCTGTCAAGAACTATGTTTTGTTCATCCTGTGCTCCAAGAGCCTGCCTTGCAGGGCTTTCCAGGCAATTAACAAGTCTTCTGTGAACCTGTGTTAAATGTCTGAAAGAATGCTCAGAGAATGTGGGCAAAGAACTTTTGTGAGTTCGTTTTTGTTTTGTTGCAGTGTTGGAGATGGAACCCTGAGCCTAAAATGCACACACTAGGCAAGTACTCTTTCTATCTCTGAGGTACAGCCTTGGTCCTTGTTTTTGTTTTTCTTTTTTCTGAGACAGGCTCTTGACAAGTTGCCCAGGCAGGCCCAGAACTTGTGATTCTGCTGCCTCAGACTCCCTAGTAGCTGGTGTGAGATAGTTTTGATGGTGAAAAATACATAAGAAAAATGGATTGTTTTAAAGCAGTTGCTGATGAAACTGGATTCAATTTAGGGACCCTAAAGAGCAAAACCAGACAGACCATCATTTTAATGAATAGATTCATTAGAACGTGGGCTGAAGAAGACTTTGCAGTCATTCAAGGTGACCCCTTGTCATGAGGCTCAACTTCCGTATTTCAGGCCACGTCGCTGAGTCGCTGACTGGGCTTCAATTGGAGCCAACAATCAGGACTTCCAAAGCAGACAACTCTACTTGACAGGACTAATAATTTGAAAGTTATCCCTTATGGTGTTCCCCAATTTTTCTCCCAGGGACTTCTACCTATTGGTGTTAATTCATGTCTCTTCACTGGTGCAGACTGCAACCCCTGCCCAAGCACATCTACAAGGATGAGATCACAGTCTCTTTTTCAGGCTAAGTGTCCTCAGCTACTTCAAATACGATATTAAGATTTAATTTAGTAGTAGTAATAAGTCATAAAAACCTTTCAGCTTCCCTCATCCTCTTTCACATGTTTGATAAATTATTCAGTGATCATTTAATACTTTGCCAAGAAAATAATACAGTCTTTTCTCTTGGAGACCCACAAACTGTCATTCCTCTCTCCCAAGGCTCCAATTTGTTAACAAGCTCAATCTTGATTAGTAACTCCCCAATAACACTGATGATTCTATTTCTGAAAACAGCTTCACTTATTAKAAATGATCAGATTAAAAGCTGCCTTCATAGTTCCTATAAGATATGTAATTGCCACGTCAGGACCAGATCAGGGACGTTTGTTCTTGCTTAGAAAATTGTCCTAGCATTGGAAACCAGAAAGAATTCTGTGAAAGTTTTGTCATGATGTCTTAGGATCCTGAAGGGATATGGAACAACTTAAAGGACTTTGTAGATTGATCAGTTCAGAAAGCAGGTCTAACTGGCTTTCCGAGTGTTAGGAACTCACCAATTCTCTATAAAGTGGGTTCAAGGTGAACCACAGAGCCACAGCACACCTCTGTCCTTTGGTGACTGCCTTCACCCCATGTGGGTTCTCTCCTCCAGATGAGAAGCTGATCATACGCCCACACTTTGGTTTTATAGAGGCCTGCAAAAGAAAATGACAGCTAGACTTTTAAATTTTAGATCATAAACATTACCCTCCGTGAAATTATTTGGGTTAAGGTTTTAGTCAAAGAATAATGGAATGCTGGGGCTGTAAAAAGAAGTCCTTTCAGTCTTTTGATCTGTAGATAAAACCTCATAAAATAAAATACAAAAAAATTAAGCAAAATATGTGGAATAGCTCATGCACATAGTAATTGCTTAATACATGCTGTGCTAATAGCCTAGAGATTCCAAGAAGGCAAAGGTTTCTTTTAATTCACTTACATAGTTTTCACATAGAAAAGCATCTATGTGCAAGGCAGGTGTACATTTAATATTTGTGGAGTTAAAAAGAAATCAAGAAGACATCTGAGCACCAGAAAAGCCAAACTATTCATCTAGATAGTGGTTACATGAGAGCACCCTTTCTAATTCCTTCATTGTGCATTTATGGTTTATACATTTGTCACAATCCAAAGATTTCTAAAAGTCAAATCTAATCCAAATGATGCATTAATCCCTTCAAACTATTGCTAGCCAGTGGWTAATCAGGCTTTGTTTGACTAGCTTCAGTGAAGCGAACATACTACCCTTGGGGTGACCTATTCCATGGCCTCTAGGTGTTTTGAGATGACTGACACAACACTTCAAAGCTTGCGCATTGCTCAGGTGGAGCTGCCCAGTGATATCTAGGTAGGAAAGGGCAGTGAGGGAAAGACAGATATTGCTGGGGGCACTGGGTCGGGGTGGAAGATGGAAAAGCAGGCTCTTCAAGTTGAGTGAGCTCAAGCAACTGGATATTAGAAGCCTTGGTTGTGGTTATGAGAAGTGTCTGATGTGAGTAGAGACTATTTTTCTTTTTTAGGAAATATTGAAACCTTATAAGTTCTATAATAGAACTTAGGAAGTAAAGCAAAACCAAAACAGTGAGACTGGCCATTCTACTGCATGCTAAGAGGGACCTTCGAACGAGCTGTTTTCTGAACTGACTTGAGTTGATACAGGCCCATTAGGGGAGTTTTCATTCTCTTTGTGCATAACATGAGATGGCTGTGGTTTCTTCACTAGTGCCTTCCAGAAGAATGTCTGAAGCATTTCCTGAAGTTCTGGGATAACATTTATATTTCTAGACTGTATGAATCACACAGAAGGTCAGAGGAAGGTGGAGGAGTCAAGAAGTCAGAGGCCCAGGTATGTGTGTATGCCCACGTATGCATGTATTTTTACGCCTCTGTGTGTGTACACGTGCGTGTGTGAGTATTAATCGGAAGAGCAGAAGGGAGAAGTCAGTTTCTGGTTGTTTTCCTATTCACAATAATCAAAGAGTGATTTGTCTTTTCTAGATAGTGGCTTCTCTTAAGCAGCTGTATGGAGGTGACTGTTCTGATATAAATCTGGACAGTTCACTAGTTACTGGTGTCCACAGTATCAGTATGATTCCAGTTTGGCAGAGACAGAACTTGCTGTGCCCTTCTGCATAGAAATAGAACAATAAATAAAGTGTGAAGCCTGTGAAGTGGGATAGAAAAAGCTTTCTAGTAAGTGGCCTTGGGAGCTGGAGCTTCAAGTTCTCTGAACAGCACCCTCTGAGGAGCTGGTCAGGACTCACATGACCACAATGGTGGCCATCACTCTGTGATTACCAGTTCTTGGCGGCAACATTTTAGAATATTAAAGAAAGACTGTCAGGACAATTCAGAGTTTTCTTCCTAATGAAATTAGAAGAATTGAAAGGATATTTAAATATGAAAGATTTCAAGAAAGCTTAGGAGAACAAGTTATGGAATGGCTGAAAGCAATCAGAACTGATGCCAGGGGAATGGGCTCTCAGGGGCCTCCAGACTAACCAAACAGAGAGCTTCACCTGTCACACATGGAGGAATAAAGAAGCTTTCATTCTCTCTTTTTTTTAATAATTCAATTAAAAAATATATATATTTTTTTTTTTTAGAAACCACCATACTGTTTTCTAGGCTGTACCATTTTACCTTCCCACCAACAGTGCACAAGGGTTCTGCTTTCTCCACAGCCTCTCTAGCACATGTTATTTTGTTCGTCATATCCATTGCTTCTAATCAAGGAACTCACTTCATAGCCAAATACCTGGATTTCACTGTTTTCCCATGTTCCTACCATCGTGAAGCAATTAGAATGACTTCCTCTGTGTGTGTGTGTGTGTGTGTGTGTGTGTGTGTGAAAGAGAGAGACAGAGACAGAGAGAGAGTCACATCCCTGCATCCCTGGCCCTTTTTATTTTTTGAGTCAGGGTCTCACTAAGTTGCTTAGGGCCTCACTAACTTGCCGAGGCTGTCCTTGAACTTGCAATCCTCCTGCCTCAGCCTCCTGAGTCACTGGGATTACAGGTACCCAACATCTCTCAGTATTAACAACATCTATTATTAAAGGTCAATAAAACTAGACACCCAATCTAGGCAAGACTATAAATGGCCCAAAACCTTCAGCAATGGAGGTGTGTCACCCCACCAGGTAAGGAATTACAGGCAGATGAGGTACTTTTCGGAAGGCAAAGGGGATATAGGAAGAATAGCAGAAGGAAGTTATAAACACCAGCCGTGACCATAAGACCAGTTACAGAACTGAGAACTAAAATCGTCATGATTATTTCTTGCTTATTTTGTTCTGAATATATGTGTGCATATATACATATATTAAGCACATCTTTGTTTTTTTTCCCCCTCTTTTATTTCCTTAGCATGTACCTTAAGATGTATTGACTTTATATCAGTATTTAAATATGGTTAATTTTACATCATAATATTTGTCTAGAAAAGTAAACACCACTCAAGGACTTCACCTCCTCTCCTGGAGAAGGAATTAGAACATTCTCAGCTGTACACAACTTGTTGGGTGGAATTATGGGTTTGCTATTATCTTTATTTGGAGATTAAGCATGGTTACAGAGATGAAATGCATAGAAAAGCTTTCATTCTCAATTCTGACATGGTTTCTACAGGACACTGTGTTCTGGAGTTTAATTAAATGGTTACAGACATATTTTGGAACACTGCACCATAACATTGAATTTCATTTGTCACAAAGGAAACACAACTTATTAAATTTTATCTTCTTCAAACTTACACTGAGAGCCCCAAACCCATTAATTCTTGTTCCACAAATAAATGCTATTATTTAAAATAAGCCATTTGTCTTCCAAATATACAATTTTCCAAGTACGATTTTTACAAACAATTTTGCCTTCCATCTAACTAATGATAAAGAGCTAGAAAGAATTTGAGAGGTACTTATCCTTAATCAATGTAAACATTCAGTCACTATTCAGTTCATTATACAATATCAAGATTTTTCCAAAGTAAAGGATGGAAAAACTCTAATTCTTTTTGTGGCCCTAAGTGAGGTCATTACTTTTCTTTGTTTGTCCTTTGGAAGTCAAATAAGAGAAATAGAAAAGGAAAACTGTCCATTTCTTTTTGTTGAGATTGGAATAAATTTACTATGGGAAAGAGGTAAGAACTAAAAAGTTTACCCATGAATTTCTAAAATAATCCCTAAAATTTTACCCATGAATCTTAATTATCCCTGAAATGTTCTAAAAACTCTGTCATATGCATTAATATAAAGTATTGATAGGCTTTTGGGTTAAAAATTTAAGCCAGTTTCATTTACTTTTTTGAGGAGAGGTTAGACTCATTCCTTTTAAAACCATAAATTATCTGATAATTATAGATAAATAAAAGGAGAATAGTATCTACTTTGACATGGTTAAAAAGCAGTATTTCAGTTAACTTACATTCAACAGTGAATGAAACTGATTCATACATAGTATTCCAAGCATCAATTCTTTCAAACATTCAACGTCTCCAAACATGGCCACTAGGGGGAGTAGAAGCAAAGAAATCTTCTCAACCACCTGTCTGATTTTATTTGAAACTAATTTTCTCCAAAGTGTATAAGATGGGAATGGTTTTCTACCTCAGTTTCAGTGTTAGCAAAGCTCAGAAACAAAATGACTTCTACATACAGCTTTTACTAAAGTGATATTCTAGTGTAGGGCTTTTAAACTCCAACCAAGAACATCAATTCACTTAGTTTTCTACATTATGAAGCATCAAAACACTCCCCAGATAAATATTTAAGTTTACAAAAAAAAAGTGAATCATCACAAACTTTTAAACATACATCACTGTATTAAACTGCATAAAATATTTTTCTTAATTATAACAATATTTCTGAACAAGTTAAACCAGAATCTGCATAGAAATTCCCTTTAAACCAAAGAAATATTTATATCACCTGCAACAGCACAGTAGTGTGTCATGAAAGATACATAGATGTTGTACTGTTCAGAAAAGCATGAAGCTATGAGACTAAACTTGCAAAACTCAGGAAAAGTTTGAGAAATGGCTTATGTAATACAAAACCTTGAAGTCCCGATTATTTAGATTTGTGTGGAAGAAAGACATATCTCATAACCTATTTATAATTTATTCCCTCAGTTGGAAAAACCTGTTTTTTAAAAACCATTATGAATGTTCTTTGATTTAAAGATCAAATGATGCTAACTAAACCAGGTATGGTGTTGCATGCCTGTAATCCAAGCAACTGGGGAGGCTGAGGCAGAAAGAGGCAAGTTCAATGCCAGGCTCAGTAACTTAGCAATGACCTTTCCCAAAATGAATGAATGAATGAATGAATGAATGAATGAATGAATAAGTGAAAGGGCTGGGGATGTAGCTCAGTGGCCAAAAGAATGCCTGGGTTCAATCTCAGTACTGAAATGGGTGGGGAGAGATGCTAACTGTAGAGTCTATAAGTGCTATGGAGGCTGGTTTTCCAAAGGCGCTCGTTTGCTTAGGCGAATGTTGGTAAATTTGATCTACATATTTGTGTGTACGTGAATCAATCTCTGTAGGTTTATTACTTATACTAAAATTATATGTTTGTATTTGTTATGGTTTAGATATGAAGTGTCCCCCAAAAGCTCATGTGTGAGAAAATGTCTGAAAGTTTAGAAATGTAATGATTGGATTATGAAAGGTTTAACCTAATCAGTACATTAATCCTCTAATAGGGATTAACTGGGTGCTAACTGTAGATAGGTAGAGTGTGGCTAGAAGAGGTAAGTCATTTACACTTCTAGGGGGTTCATTTGGGGTATATATTTTGTTCTTAGTGAGCAGGGTTCGCTTTCTCTCTGCTTCCTAGTGCCATGTCCTGAGCCTCCTTCCTCCACCACACTCTTCTACCATGATTTCCTGCCTCACCTCTGGCCTGGAGCAATGGAAGTGACAATCTGTTGAGTTGACTGAGACCTTTGAAACCATAAACCCCCAAATAAATTTTTCCTCCTCAAAATAATTAACAGACTAACAGTATCAAAAAAGCTGACTAAAACAGTATTTGTACATACACAAATAATTCTACATATGCTAGAATATAATTCTACATATGCTAGAATCAATCCTTTTTGATCATGTAGCTAACTAGGGATTTGGAGGCCAATGTTCAATCCAAGCATGTGGAATACCCGATTACTTGAATTTATTCAGTATAATTATTTGACTTGTCCTAGACTTGGGTGACTAAGAACTAATGTTTTTATGTTTCCATCAAAGAATCAGAAAGTCTAGGTTTTGGTTCCAAGTTGAACACTGACTACCTCATTAAATCCTTATTATCTCTACTCTTTATTTATCTTCAAATTGAACTAGAAGATGTTTATGTATGCTTCTATTTCTAAAAGTTTATGGTTTATCAATTTACTTGGACTCTTTCCACCCCTTGAATTCTTGAGCTCAGAAGTATTTGGAATCCAGCACTCTGGAAATCCTTGGAAGAATGCAAGACAAAATAAAAAACACTAAATAAATTTGCAGGAAGAAGCTTACTCACAGTCACAGTCTTAGCATCCATTTCAGTGAATATGAATTCTCCTCCTTCGAAGTCATCATTCATATACAGGAGAGCACTAAAGGAGAAAGGGAGAGCCATTCATAGGACAATATGCTCACAATATCATCACTATGGAACATGAAGACAGGTAATAAATGGGCTACCTGATGAGTAAGTTGCCTTTGAACTAGACATCACAATATTTGACCCACCAGACCCTTGAAGGTAAGATCAGATATACTTTGGGTTATACCTCTAAAGGGTTTATTAATTCTACTTACATAAAAGTTCTAATCATTCTAATCATATTTCAAAGCTCAGATCACATTTCACTTCCTCCAAAGAATATCTAAATAGATTTATTTTAATGGAGCCCTCTGAACCCACCCATATTGCTTCTAACTCTCTTTTTCTCTCACATACTAGTAACTACTTTTTCCTTGATTACTTGGACCTTGGCCCTGCAGAGAGGAGGTGCTAAAAATTATTTTAGAATAGGAAAGTGTCATAATAATTAACACACTATTATACACATGGGGACTACCACTCCTGATTCTTTCCTTTATAGACAAAGATATCTTTCAACATCATTAAAGAGTATTTTTTTTCTGAGTTTCTGTTTTGTTGTTTGCAAAATGCAACATAGTTCTTCAAATGTGTGAGTCATTGATAAGTGATATGAGAAGATCCCCAGGTATGCTAGGACACCATGACTTTGTGTTCTCAGACTGAGATGTACATACCCAAAAAGGGTATGCCTCAGTGAAATCACAAATGATTTAAAAACAACAACAACACAACACAACACAACATACACTCTCCTTGGTAGGAGGAAAATGTGCATGATTTTGAAGATAAAAATGAAGTTGTCACTTCTCAGCTATGAAAGCTGCTTCAGATTACTTGAGAATCTCTGCTTCACAGAGATAAAGATGACAAGCGAAACAGAATAGCTTTCCAGTTCCCATGGATTACTGTTGGGTGGGAGCTTGGTTCTGAAGGAGACTCGGGCTTACCTATAGTCCCRGAAAGTGTAAGCAGGAGGCTCCTTCCAGCACTCGTTGGCTTCTGGATCCAACAGGCAGTTATCAGCATGGATGGGATGACTGAGGTCATTTCTTCTATCCTGTTGACCTGCCAGAAAAAGGAACCATATTGATTAACTGTCTTCTCTCATTCCTGGTGTCCTTTGTAAATGAGAGGAGATAGATGACAGTGGACAAGCAGTCAGGAGACTCTGGTCTGGTTTTGACTTGAACTTGATGTGAAACCTTGGGCACATCACACCTGTCTCTTCAACTATAAGCACATTCTGATAGAAATATACGTGTATAAGCTCCATGCATTTCATGGGTTGTACTTCAAAAGGATAAGGATGAAATGAAAATGAAAACAAATGATTTTCATTCAGAGGAAACTCCCCTAAGTGTTGCCTACTCCTATGGCATCTTTCCTGTGGCATTCAGGTGGGTGGAAGAGAAGATGCTCAGGAGAAATGATAATGGACATCTCTTTAATAATCTCCTTAACAAACAGCAACCATAATGTCCTGGTCCCTTGGAAAGAGAAGCCTAGAGAAGAAAAGCATTTTTCTGTATGATGTCAGCAATAAGGAGAAATAGATTTGAAAATATTCAGAGAGAGGGTCTTCAGGAATTTTAGGGGACCAAAAAGGAGCAAAAGAGGGATGTAAAAAATAAGAAGTCCTGAGTTTCCTAAGTTGTTACTGTTCCTCCTCCTTCTCTTCCTCCTTTAGAAATATAGAACTCTTCTAAAATATTAGGCTACATGTAATAGAGCTCTGTTTTACATAGTTTAAATTCCCATTGTATTGTGGGTAGAAAGGAACAAGTTCAGGCTCTGAATTCTCACCAGACAGGGCTGTTCGGCAGACCATGTGTGTATAGGAAAAATAAAGGGTTGAATTCAGCATGAAATAGGACTCTACGATCTTTCGAGCCTTCTCACTGATGTCATAAAACAGACGTGCACTCTTCAGTGGGACTCGGCCCTCATAACCAAACTGAAAAGAAAAGCAAAATAAAAACATTAGAAAGCAGTGGATTGACCAGTAGAATTAAAAAAACAAAAAAAAAACAAAAAAACAGGAACTTTATTTTTCCTCAGACCTGATCTTAGAGACTCCCTATCTTAGTCTCTTCTCCCTATCCTTTGTGGAATGTTGGAGTAGGGGTTTCACAAGCTGTTAGATCCTTTAATCAGTTTACTTCCATGCATTCATTTCAGTAATTAAAATATCTATGTCCTTAACTATGCATTTTAAATAGATACTTTAAATCTGAGCTCACRCTTGCCTAAGGCTGGAAGCCTGCAATAGAAAAGAGTTTGGCAGCAGAAACTACTAAATGTCTGCAAAAAAACTTTTGCTTCTTTTTGAGATATGTTCCTTACACATGGCTGCCCAGCAARGGAGCACATTTACCCCCTCAGGGCCATACATGTGTATGAGACCATGTGACTAAGTCTTGGACAGTGCAACATGAGTGTAGGAATGTAGACCCCATTAAAATTTCATCCATGATCCTTGCATTTTCTTCTCCCATCTGCTATGTAGTGGACACACCCAAAATAACTATGAAAACCACTTGAAGATGGCAAAGATCTTCAGTTTGGCCCTTGAATGATTGAGAGGACTAGTGTTTCCTTTCCTTAACTCCATCTCTCTCCCAGATGATTTTATGCAAGCAAGAAATAAACTTGTTTTGAGTAAGAAGAAAGAAAGA